GTGGAACTAGTTGCATTTGGTGCATAATTAGACAGGTTCATCATCGGATTACTGGACATCATCCTGCATAGTTAACCAAGGGACAGACAGGATCCATTCGTAGCTCTCTGTTAGCACACCTTGTAGATGCTGAGCATAAAGTTGAAATACTTACTGGATTTAAAGTTGTTCATCATATTCCGACTAATATTAATTTTGCTTAACGACTTCCTCTTCTACATACAACTGAGGCCATCGGAATCCAGGTGAAACAGCCAGGAAGACCTGTGTGTTCAGAAGAAATCCCCACAGACACTTCAATACCTTGACTGTCGTTAAATGAACGTGGAAAAAGAGGACAAGTCGCCAACGTCCTGATTAATTTAATTTATTCTCACTATTTCATCTTTAACTTCGTATTGCAAAATCAATTCGAACACGCACCACCTACTCCTTATTTACTCCCATCATTTTTTCAAAACTATGCACTACGCAATCTGCTTCATTGATTTTTGAAATTATCCCCACCCTTTAATTGTTGTATTAGTCTCTTTGGTTGATTATCACACCCTTTCGACATGCTGATATTGACTAGTCGCGGTTAGGTGAATATTTCTTCACTCAATCCTTTTCTCTTCTAAATTTTCCATATTTCAAGTATAGACGTTGTGTCATTCCGATCGGACTCCGGTTTTAGTGTTGACTGGATGGACAGAGATCCGGATTTACCACTCTCATCACCCACTTATGCCTAACTATACCTCTGAGTACACGGAGAATTCCTATTGATCTTCTATGCTTTCTAGTATACTCAGATTAAACAGTCTTATTTTGTGATGATTACATACAGGTGAATGCATTGCAATGGTCGAGATTATTTCGGAGATTATTGAACCTAGTAGGGTGAGTCATTCTAGGTCTAGCTAAATTTCTATGGCCCGATAATCTAATTGACTCTGATCTACCAGTTTCACCTGTGTAATAAATAACTCCTCACAATCATTACACGGTATTTGATTATATGATTTCTCAAGAGTTTGCTCTTAAAGATTTGATCTGCTTTTCAACTTTGATCACGGATTGATATCGGTTGGAGAAGCATTGAAAACCAACAGGAGGTGGTGGACAGTTGTCTCGTCCTCGTTTTCTGACTGATCGGAAGAACGAATCCACCTGCAGTGTTCGAACCCATGACACTTCCATAGACCATTCAACCACTGGGACTCGTCTACTCAATGGCCACCTCATGAATTCTCACTTTTACCACTACATGGTTTTAGAGTGACTGTCACCAGCCAATGTCATCGGTGGCGAGTATTTGTCCTCACTCCGACAGGGTGAACACCACTGGTTACGACTTTTCACTAGAACTCAATACAGGCAACTTCGTCCTACTGCAACTAGTCACTAGCGAGCATCAGATTAATTTTCGGGAGTTGATTTGTAGGGACTCGATCTGTCTCTTAATTGGATCCACCAGTCAGTTGAGTCGACAAAGTTTGTCTGTGAGTGACTTGTCTGCTTGATTTCAGTGAAACCCAAACTAATTCCAGACTCATTGAGATAATTATGAAAAATAAATTGTGCTCGAAATGTCATCCACTCATCTGTAGTGTCGAGCTGTTGTTCTGCCACAGTGACCAAATTCTACTATTACATTTATACTTTCATATTCTTAAGATATATTTTCGTCATTAGCGATTAGTAAGAAGAGCTGCTTTTGTTCATTTGACCAACATAAACTCCAGTTAGTCTGTTGCATAATATTCAGATTATGGAATATCTGGCGATTCGAGTTACTGTCAGTTGTTAGATTTTCGTCAGCGACTTACATCAATCAGAGAGATAATCGAAAGTCGATAGGGAACACTCGAGAACTGTCTCGTCGTGACCTTGGACGCCTGAGAAGTGTGCACCCAGGACCTTCAGATTACGAGACCAAGCTGGTCTACCATTCAGGCACTGAGGTTGGGACTCAATGATCCTGAAGCTTCCAGCCGTTTGATACCTGATGAGTTCATAGCCGCCTACTGTTCAAGACTACCCAAATGGGAGGATTCAGCTGTCCACTGCCCTCTGTCAATTGTTAATGATCTCTCTAACTGACATTACTTCCTGACAAAAAACCAACGACTGTTATGTGTCATTTCTGAAGGAAGTTTGTTGTGTTGAAGGACTCGACTGTATTAACCATCTCCCTGATAATTAATAGTCTTAAAGTAGAAATCAATTCGAACAAATCAGGAGCCTAGAGAGCAGCATCAAAACCGGTATTATCTTGAAAGTATTCGAATCAAACCGCCTGTTCGACAATTTATGAAATCTACCTATTTATGACACTGAGCAGGTTACATTGTACTGAATGCTTCACACACCAACTGAATTTAAACTAGCAATCAATAGATGGACAAAACTACAGCTGACCCAAAGCTGAGTCGTACGCCGCACAGACACCAATTAGAGATTTTAAAGAGCGCGTTCCGAGTAAGTCAGCAAAATAATAATGATAATAATAAGGATAATGAAACGAAGTTTGAAAAAGTGGACAATACATCTGTGCATTATTCAGTGATTGCCAGTAGTCATTCAAATTGGAAAAGAGGAGAGCATCTGGTAGCCAAATTATTCGAAAAGTGGACAAACTATCCCATCGATACTAAATCATCATCTCCGTGTGTGAATGAAGAGTGAAATAGTGGGACTTCGCATACAGGCTAACAACATATCTATATAATACACCTGGGAATGTAGTTTATATATGCATATTTTTAGTGTGAATGAATACAGGGAACTGTTAGTTGCCACCGAAAATAGGGAAACGGATTTTTCTTACAAAAGAAACTCATGTGTGTCTACGTATATTTTGTGTCAACAGACAAACAACATGGGCCATATTTTTATTTCTTAAATGAGTGGTAACTGTAGATAACACTATTTATAGGGATCTCCTCATGTTGAATTTATCCAAGAAAATTTTTTTCTTTTTCCTTCACGTTCCCCAGTGGAACATAGAGCTTCAAGCTAGTGGCTTGAAGTTTCCTTAGCAGTGTTTATTTCACAGGATGGGGTTGCCAGCCAAGCCTCGTGCCCAACCTTTCCTCTTTACCAGCATTATATCTGGCTTAGCGAGGTAAAGGAGTGCGTCCAGTAGCCGGAGATCGAACCCCGTACCATGTGTGCATGTCGGTGAGCGTCCTAACCACTATGCCACCGATGCACCTATTCAAGAAAAAAGATCGAATAAAAGGGAATGAGTTAACAAATTTTCCCATGAATACACAGCATAATACGCGCCATAAACGACTTTCTATGCCTGTGGTTTAGTGGTAGAATATTCACTGCAGCCACGCGGAAGATCAGGATTTCGACTCCCTACTGGGGATGTGAGATTCCACACTTAATTTACTGACCGATAGCAAAGCAAGGAGAAGAGAGAGGTTCTGGAATCAGACAAGAAACTGCAATACCACCGCCAGTGAATCTTGAAAAGATACACGAAGACAAATGTCCCCCTTTGCATGAGAAAGTCTGTTTATATTTGTTTTCGAGTTCACAATACACGAATTCGGTAAAACCGATTTATCTTGCCCTGCAATTATTTGTGAACTGATAGATACTATTTCAGAAATATAGCAATGACAATCTCTTATTTACGCATGATATATATGTATATTCCTACAGTCATTCCCCCTGAGGTTTTCGATAGCGTTGATCATGAAGTGAATACTAAACTACTTCAACACCGCGGTGTACACTACCCAAAATCTTTTTCAACCTCATTAAACAGCACTATGACGATGAGATACATCCCTCTGTAGTCCTAGAAGACCAGACACTTGGTAATGCAATCTGTTATCGCTATGTAGCGAAAACATGTACACCTTTGCATAGATATTCGATGTTTCACTACTTCTGGTCTTCCTTCATATTGTGTTCCTTTCACTTCGCACATGTTTCAACGCAACGCTGAATTATTTCCTCTCTCCGATGTAACTTTAGGTTCACGCTCATAAGTTGAATTTACATCTTAACCCCAAGAATTTGCACACTCTAAGTATCTTACAATGAAAAGAAAGTCTTCTAACCAATTTTATTTCGACGTAGTCGTTTAGATCAGAATATAGTTTCTTAAAGCTTTTACTAGGATCTAAATCTATATCATGTCCATTGGTGGACTTGACATTCAGGTGTTTAGTGTTGAGCATACAGTATGATTGAGAAACGAGGAATCGATATCAAATTAGATCACATACAAAATAGTGTGATCAACTAAGTTTCCTCACCTACAGAGCGCTTAATATATATTATCCAACATATAAATATTCTCTTCTTACTTAAACGTTTATCTTATGATCCATTAGTCGTCTATCATATTATTGCAACTATAATTGACTTCTCTCAGCTATGTACCATCGCACTATGCATGATATAACGTGTGGTCTAGAAAATCTCTAGTCATCAGACTTAATAAATCATAATGACATCATCTTCATACTAGACTACTCTCCAAAAAATTATGAGCCTGTAGAGGTAGGTAGTTACAGTGCTCCGCGTTTGATATCTGAAGCTATTCTGTGATTTGGATCTAGTAGAACAAGAGAGTAACTGACGTGCAAGGATGAGATGACGGGCTGGAAACAACCACAGAAGAGATCCTGTGGCCTAGAGAAAACAAAATAGTGAGGCACAGCCAAAAGTTAAACACTCAGACAACAAACTATAGCCTATCATCATGCAACAGGCAAATTACTGGGCTGAGAATCTATTGGATGCATTTTGGCCTTCACATTTCCACCAATAGAAACATCACTTCATAATGTGACACGACCAATCTAAAATCGGATTCGACAAAACTCCATGCGTGGGTGAGACGAATACGCGAAAGCATGCTTTTGTCTATCTCTCTCTCTCTCTCAAGGTTATGCATAAAAGCTTGGCATTTAAAGCCTGACCACATTTGTCAGCATTGTTTTTCTCGGACGTTGTGGCCTCAGCTAACTAATTAACTAACTGTTTAGACGATGGCAGAAACTTGGGAAGGACACTGTAAAGCACACCTGGGTCAGCACAAATGCCTAAATAACTTGTGCATAACAGGGAAAGAAGGAAATACATATGGTACATCCAGCCCCGATTTCCAAGTAAGTTCGAGCTCCACATTTCCTTGATAGTATGAAGTTCTTTAAATCCCCATAAACTCATATATTTTATCACAGTAGTTGGAAGCGTCGTTCAAATATATTGATTGAGGCTCCATGTCTGTGTCATTTACTACTAAGTGTGTATACGTGTTTTTAGCCTTCTCAACTCGGCAGAGCGCGGATACCGCTGCATCTGGTAGTTTATGATGTGGTTGTGAGCAGTAAGGCACCTGCATGGATTTTGATGTTTCCTGCTATATTCTCTGAGGTGTTTAAACCCAATGTGGAGGCAAAAGAACATATATCGGATCCCTGGGCATTCCTCGGAATTTTTAACATCTGTGTCTACGTTATGACAAGGAGAATTACCAGCCATTAAGTGATCCCCGTATGATGTTTTGGTCGTTCCGAGTATCATACGTGTGGCTTATGTTTGAGAAGCGCATACAAATTATGGGTTTGCTGTGAGGAATATTATGCTTGAAAGGATGCAGTTTTTCTAGTTCTAACGTCACTGTAGATGTATCGGAAGTGATTGACTTCACTGGTGCATTTTCCCCCATAATTCCGAAGAGTATGCTGGTTCGTGAACCTGATCACATCAGTACGCTGGTCTGATCGCTTCGAAATGTCAGCTGTTGTGATTCACGGAAAAAGTTGAAACTGATATCATGATGGTGGTGCTTCTAAACTTACCCATCGAAATATGCTTTGGTAACTGTTTTGACGTGGAGACAATATTTATGCTATAGCCAGTAGAACTGCAATGATGAGTTTAGGAGAAGTAAGCGTGAAATGACTTTGGTGTGTATTTATCGGCCGAAGTTGTGGTGACTGTTAACAGTTGATTGTACGTGTTGCGGTGTAAGTTTATGGATTTCTGGAGGTGTTCATATAGTTCCATAGGATGAGTATAGGGTAGTGACATCGGATTTGGGTAATCCGTCTAGTAATTGAAGCCAATGGTTCTGAATCAAGCAGATGCAGATGTCGAGTTAAGTTCTGAGTGTCGGGCTGGCAATTCTAGACTGGATTACACAAAGAATAGAATAGATATTTTGTAGGTGGTGCCGTGGTTGGTCTGGGACCGAATGTGACGGGGATTGCATGTAAATGCACTTGTGAATGTGCTGTTAGGACTTTGAACTAGCGTCTGCCGATGAGGCTAGTTTCTTCTGCGTAGTCTCGACTCTATAAACATGTTGAGTATTGCAGTGTGACAGAGACAGTCTTTGCAACGTTCGTACATTTTGTCACTAAGTATAATGATCGAATTAGTGCTTCCATGTGTTTGATGGAGCAGGCGCGTGAGGAATGTATTTCCGATTGGAAGCCAACTCCACTAGACAACTATCTACGCGTAATGATATAAGGTAGAAGATGGCCAGCCACCTAACAGCCTGCTTACGAAGAAATGTGCTTGAGGAATTGGATATTGGACAGGCAGTGGTAAGCCCACAAGTGGAGTCGGAAGTAAAGATATTGATAAGTGGATGTGATCGTAAGATTGTCATATGAGGAAACTAAAGTGATGCGGCCAACTGAGGAAGACACTGGTGGACGAATTGCAATGGTACGCTGCTGGGTCTCTAGTGATTTATTCTAAAAATAATACTAGCTGTCGGATAACAGGTTCTAGGTTCCTATGACTCACCTGTAGGAGAGGTAATGATTGGTGCATGACGAGTTCTCTAATGTTAACAACTCACTTGAATGAATTACCAGTCAGTTTGGAAGGTATGAAGTGTGCATAGGAGGAATTCATAACTGCCTTATGACATGGAATATGTTGAGAAGATGGTCTCACAGAAATGAACCTCTGTGGAATAGAGTATTTTTTTTTGAATCGGTTGGGTATAGTCGAGCTACTGGTTTCGTGTAAAACATTTCGGGTGGTGTTACAGATCATGGTGTATGTAGTGGAATATGTGGAAGTTCAGGTCAGTCAGCTATTTCATGTGATAGTCTCGATTTGGTTTTTATTAAGTGGGATGGATGTTTCGTCGTCATGTGGCTCCTACGACTGTCATCTGTAGTTATTATTCCTAATTATGAGAGTGTGGACAGTGGTGTTTGAAATTTGGGTAATTCAAATGTAGTATCTGACTGAGTCTATTTACGACTTGGTTGGATTATGTAGTATGCATACTGTTTTGCCATCTCCCTGCTCATCAGGCTGCATTATTGTGGATGCAGCGACTTAGCTGGAGTTAGTCCTCCAGGAACCGGCGCATATGTATGTCAGATGAATTTGAGTGTTGTGTAAGAAAGCCGAATCTGGATACGAGTGATGTTTCGGGTTCACCTGTATTCTTGTTGCCAATGTGTTTTGTCAGTAGTTTTCTATGTGTATGGGAGTGGGTTTTTTGATTTTGTCGATTTAAATTAATTGAATGTTAGCCTACACTTTAAATTGTATTTTAAATCTTTGTGTTTAGGTGTCCGACAATATCACTCATTTACTTTATGTCTTTGTCAGGTACCCCCGGAACTTATTCAGAAACTGAGATCGGTTTTAGCAAATGGTTCCGATACTTCCTTCGACTTCCTGAATGAGAAATATATCATAATTCGACACGACGACTCCTGCCTGATCAGCAAGTGTGGCAAGAAGTCTATTCTATTTTACTGCACAGATACCAGTAAGTCACTTTAGTTGTATTTTATTTAAATGTGCTTTAAATGAAGGTTTAGGCTTAACTAGTGATTTCGAATGGTCTCCTCATTATCTTGGGCAACTTGTGCATGTAACGATGCATAGCTTGTGATCATATTCTAGTTGTCCAAGATCAGCAATATGATAAGTGTTCGTATGGGTCCGATATATCTGTATCAGTGTATTGTGCACCAACCAGCTAACAGTTATTTTCAATCGGAGATGACTTAGCATTACCTACCTACGTTTCTGATGCTCAATCTAGAAACAACCTCTTAAGTGAGATTAGGTGTTAGCATCGGATTCCATTGTAGCGTCTATAGTTGTTAGTCAATTGTGGTATTTGCAGTACATATCCGGTGACACTATGAACACAAGAGCTAGTTAGAATGCCAGTCGACTCAGGGAAATTGTGGTTTTGTGTGTAGTTTTCGCTATTCTCGTACACACTTGGAAATTGTTAATGCCTAGATTATTAATAACAGTAAGGGTGGTGTGAACCTCATTACGTACTTCTTTTCCATACTTAACTGCGTCGGTGTCCTGTAAATCCAATAAAGCCTTTTGAATAGGTTTGTATCAGAGAACATCACGATCTAGGATGCCCATGGCCAACCGGATTTTCGTTTCTCTTAGTGACCTTCGGTTTGTATTAGTGGTGACAGTGTTCCCGTTGTTCAGTTGTGAGTTAGGATTCAGTTAACGGGAATAGTGCTAGACTAGAAGTGACACTGAATGTGTGATGGTGAACCCACGTTGTAAAATTCTGTCCGAATTCAATAATTCTAGTTATTCAAAATAAAGGTGGCAAAGTGTGTCTGGGTTGAACAAGGTGTGTAACACTGTTCTATTGCTTCCCTGGCTAATTTCGAATGGTGTGTGCTATCCTTTACTGAAATAAAGTGTACGGGACATTACTGCTCTTTCTTGACAAAGTGGGCGTTAGCTACGTGAGGTAATCGCCCATTCACAAAGGACTGTACACAAAATGTCAGTAAGTAACCCATGTGTGTTTAGTACTTCTCAAATAAGACATTCTTATTCAAAATGATTGGGTTATCTTGCGAGTGGTTTTGTTTTACACACTAGTCGTCGGATACTGATTACTGTTGGATTTGTGTTTTGAAACTGTTTGATTTCAGTGTGCTTGGTCGGACAGACGGTTGACGACGAGACGAATAAGTGTAATGCGGGGAATATCGCGATGGCTAATATAAGCGATTTCTATAAAAAGAAGGGTTTGTAATCAACTATTCTCGTATAATAATGTACTGCATCTTTTTATGTAATGTTGTATTTGATTGGTCAAATAACTATAAAATAATTCGCATGTAATAACGTTAGCCTTCTTCTTCTTCTTCTTCTTCACTCTTCCGTGTGAAACTTTCCACATTTTGTTGTTGATAGGCGGTTTCTTGTTCTTATTCTGCTTCTCTCGTTTAGTGCTACGAGATCACGAGGTCGAATAGCACACCTCTGTTCATGTATTTGTTTAGATTGTTATTTTTCATGTTGAGATGATGACATTGTTTTTTGCTAGAGAAATCTTATCGCCACGACACCTGCACCAACACCACCACCTGCCTAAGGGACTTCTTATTGTTGTGCTCCTGCAGAGATATATATGTATACTTCAGTATGCCTGTAAGGAAGACTTTTGTTTGTTGATTGATTTCTATGTTGTATCTGAGGCAGGAAGATACTCATAGTTATTTGAAGAGTTTTGTGAAAGTTTCTACTCATTATAATCTATTAGCTTGCTTGTACACATTGTTTGTTTAAAGGCATTATTATTATTACTATTATTATGGATTTTTAAAATGTACCAACGCTTAGCCTGAATAGAGGCGCACTGTATTTTGTTATAATTGGTATATTGATAAATTAATGCTTTATGATGAATGTTTGTTTTTGCTTTCACTGGAGTGGAGTTGGAGACACTTGTACTAGTTACCGTGTAGCTAGCATAGCTGTTTGTTCCTTAAACCATCATATGCTGTGTTGTACTATCACTGAATTATGGTCTCTGTCACACGTTATTGAAAATGATGCAACTTATTGTGGTGGGTGGGTTGGATGAGGGTTTTGTGTACCAGTGAAATAAATTGTGTATTCCGAGTGTCAGTTCTTGGTGGTGGCACTACCACCTGGTTATTTGCACCGTAGCGTTTATGGGTTGACTTGACGTTGGTTTAGGTCGTTGAGTCACATGTATGTGCCGTGGAATGTTAAAGTACAATGACTTTTGAGGTTTGGGAATGGTGTTCATACTACCATGTGATCACTCTGTGTTAGTGTGGACTGTGATACATACTGCCAATGTACGTACTTCCAATTTGCGAATTATCTCCGGATTATCTCATTCTTTTTTACACTGCGTGTATTAGAGAACTCATAACTGTGTTACATGCGTTTATTTATTCGATTGAACGGCGATCGATTTCTGTCCCCCATATATGTTTGACGAAGATGAGTTAGGTGTCGTGATAATATGTGGGAAATATGCCGTTGAATTGACATTGAAGCCAACTGCTTTCGGGATTTGTCTTCGCTACGGAACTATGCTATTCTGTGTCTGTTTACACAATTGGTTCAATGTATTTCGTCGAAATAATAATGATAGTCCCGTGCTGTGATCTCAACTGCAGAGTGTCACAATTTGGTTGCTGAAGTGTATCTGTGGTAGTGGAGAGTTAACTCCTGCTTGAGAGCTTCCATCTTTATTCAATGTAGGATATACGTTGAGGTCATGGATTACTTCTTCAGTGAGTGAAAGTGACCGTAAGTGTTTGAGCTAGCTAGCTTTAGTGGCCACAGCCTCTCATTAATTCTGGCGGATAGCACGGAACTGACAGTCCAAATTGAGGGTAAATTGTGTTAGAATACGAGCGTTTATTAAGGTTAGATAGCCTCGTTGAATATCCAATCCCTGAAAGTCCTAGTGTCGTGAATGTTGGTTCATTGTGGCTTAGTTAGTACAGTTTACTATTGGATTATTATTATTCCCTGTGGTTCAGAGTTGTTGGACATAGGGCCGCAGTCAGGAGCCACATCTCTACTTCATTTTGTCCTCTGCTATGCTGTTCAGCTGGCGCAGCGATTGGCTGTGAGCCTTCATCTCCTGCTCACATGGTTTCCTCCATATCACCCTCGGACCGAAGTCAAACTCTTCGTTTCTCACACAAGCGTTGTTCTGGCACTCGATAGTCTCATCAGCGTGTGTCCGATCCATCTGCACCTGCTCCATCTGTATATCTGTTGAGCACTAGGTTGTTGGCTGACTCGTTCTCAGACCATTTGATCTTCACCATTATAATGGTTCGAAGTTAGCTAGTGATAGAAATCTGCAGTAGTCTGTTGGGGAATGCTTTTCGTGACGAACGCTACAGGCTTTTGACCCATATAGAAGTGTTGAGTTGACTGACTTATTAACGGTTGTGTTGGAAATCCGAATATTGTCCTTTTCTGCTGATCGCAGCTTTTCAGTCTGATTTCGAGACTGATGAAGGCGTTCCGTGTCTTTGTGACCCTCGCCGGTTTCGACATCTTCGTCGATGACTCCGCCTATAGTTGGAAGGACGCTGCATACTAATTTCATTTGAGCAGTACTATAGGTAAGTTGAAAAACTCAGCATATTATGAGCTGGATTTCATGCTATTCATCCAAGGTGGATGAAGTAGTAGTGTTATTGTACCGACCTATTAATATGTATGAGAAAGGTCCTGTGTTTATGAGTGTATTTCGAATTCGTTAAAATGGAAGTAGATTTGTAGGAATTCTTATCAGCTATTGTAGTCCTTTAGTCACTTGGATACACGTGTTTACCAGACAACTAGGTGGTCTTATTAAGTCCATTTTTCATATGTGTAGGTGTATATGTTAATCCAACTGTGATAGTTTGCAGGTGATTGCTTTAAGAAGAATAGGGATAGGTCGAATGTGTTGGGAATAATGGCGATGGAGTTGACATGCGTGGAGAATAACGTTTAGTGGCATGACAGTTAAGGCAAGGAAGAAGAAGAGGAAGTCGAATGAGAAGAGACCATTTGGGTGTTCGAAGTTGATATGGAGGAGATAGTGTGAAGGAGAGATGAGAGGTTATGGTCAACCATATACCTAACTGAAGGGAACAGAATGAAACGGAGATATGGCCTGGCTAGGGTCTTATGTTCCACTGGGAACACAGGGGGAGTAATAATGATAACTCTGACAACGTCTGTGTAGAAGAGAGAAAACCCTCTTGTTTCTGCTGCCTCCTTTTCAAACCTGGAGATCTGTGTTGGTGGGTGGTTGGGTGACGCGACATTGACTTCAGAATGAATACAACCATCAGTAATGTTCACCTGTTTGGTGAGCAAGAAGTACTGGGGATTAAGAGAAATAAGCGGCTGAACTTATACTCTAGCACGAAGTGTCAGTGTTCTACCCATTGAAGTATACACTGCTCTGTTGTAGGGAATCTTACCACTTTCCAGGTAGGTATCCGTTGTTTCTAGTGTTGCTCAACGTGTGGTATCCGTTTCTGTGATCGACAGCGAATACATCCACAAAGTCAATGTAATTATGTGTCAAAGTGGAAAACAAACTTAATTTATAGTTGTTTGAGAAGGTGGAATTGATTTTAATTGTCGTTGATTCAACTCCTCTGATATGAGTATTCACCACGATGTCTTCGTTTGGTATTGATGCAGTATTGATCTTATTCTCTCTCTGTGTCTCTCGTTATGTTGTAATTGCATGTAATGATCTATCCCACATCCATGTAAAACTGAGAAACGCAACAAAGCATTCAATGACACCCCATGTATGGAATTAATCAAGTTTGCTTAATTTGAACAATTTTTAACTTGAAATGCACATAAAGTTTGTTTATATATATATGGGTGTACTAATAGTTCACATGATTCTAAAGATATCTCTGTGCCTGTGAGGAGTGTAGGACGATATTATTTATTTTTCGGTATACTGAATGAAGTTGAAGTAACAAAGTATGAAAGTATTTGCTTAGAGGTCACATGACTGAAGATATTTTAAATCGATGGATCGCTCACTCACTCACTAGTTAGTAGTGTATATGATAATTTTGATATTGATTATTTCCACCATTAAGCATGAGAAGGATTGTTAGATTAACCGTCATGGTCTCTGTCTATCTGTCTGTTTTCGATGTAGAACTTTGCACATATGTGCGGCAGTTCAAGTCCCCACACTCCATGTAACACACAAACCAACAGAATAAACTAGAAGAAATGCATAATAGAGAGAGACAGTAAGTAGAGGTGTGAGACAAAGGAATAGTAGTAACGAAGAACAAAACAGTTTCATTGGAAATCAAATTCACAAGGAGTGGATGCATCTGCGCCATTCAGAACGATTTTGAGCCAACCATTGGCTTTTACCGTCCCGAGGACCCCAACCAAGAGGTCTACATCTTCCTACGTAGCTTAAACTAACTGTTGTGGATTTCATTGACTGGTGCCATGTTTTGGTTTGACTGCTACTAGCTCTTTTCCAGCCTGAAACTATGTCAGCTAACATTGCCCATTGTCGAGGAAGGCGATGACTAGGCTTACGTAACACATGTCCTAACCATCTCAGTCGGTGTAATTTCACAGTCTCGTCGATTGATTTCCCTCCTTACCTAGCACTCAACCGAAGCCTAACCTCAATATTGCTCACCTTATTATACCACTTCATACGGGAGATAGAGCGCAGGCACCAATGATCAAAGACCGGCATAGTACGAACATATGCTATTTGATTGATAGCGATTGATGGACTGAATCACGGACTGACTTACTGGTTTCAACATGGAACTTTGCACAGATGTGGAGCAGCATCAGTTCGAGTTGTCAATCTCCGCGTGGCCTCCATGTGGCACACGAATCAGGAGAAGAGAGTAGAGAGACAGAGAGAGGGAGATTCACAGCAGAGAAGGAGAGGGAGAGATGATAACCAGAAGTGTTGATGAGGGAAGAAGAACACTAGTAGTTTGGGAGAAGAACAGAGTTTTATTGGGTGGATATGACAAATCACAAAAAGTGAACGCATCATCGAGAAAGACTTTAGTCATACTTTCAATAGTCTCCAACCGTGATTGGTTCTTATCCTCCCGAGGACCCTAACCAGCCAGTCTACGCCTCGGTGTGTGAGTGACTGGTTCAAACTAACTGTTGTTGTTATGGATTTGATTGAGTGATGAAGGCAGCCATGTTTTGGTTTGACCACCAAGTGGTAGTTCCTTC